TCCTAGATGGGGGGCGGGGGGGGGGCGCTTTTTCGAGACTAAAATCGGAAGAATTTACACTATATTGGTGAGTCGATACACGTTACCACTTATAAAAACAACCAATTGTATTAAAACAGTTTGTTAAGCCGTAAAATACGTTAGTGACTTTGATTAAGATGGTGCAGGGGGGGGGGGGGGCGCTGTTAGACTAAAATCGCAAAATTACACTGGATTTTGAGAAAACAACCTTTAGCGATTAGAAAAGCAACTAATTTTACTAAAGTGCATTGTAAAATTGTGTGACATTTTTAGCGCAATTTCCATTCTGGAGAATTGCGTTTATTAACGCGTCATTTCTGGGAATGGATGGATGGATGGATGAATGAATGTATGGATGAATGTGTGTCCGGGCTTTAAGTCGTATCTCCTCCTCAACGAAGCAATATCGATGACTAGTTCCAAAAGCAATTATGTTAAGCAAGTTACGAGAATGAGCATAGGCCATAAAAATTCCGGGTTTCTTTCATGTATTTCCCGGAAAATCCAAAAAACCTCGAAAAAATGCAGTTTTTGGCCCATATCTCGGCAACCAGACGACTTAGCGACTTGAAACATGTACCAATCGATTCCTGCCATAATTTAGAACAATATTGCCGAAGAAAGTTTTCAAAAATATCCTCTCGTTTAGTCACAAATTTTAAAATTACATAAACACCTACAAACCGATCGTTCTTCTAGCTTGAACGCATCCCAGCATTATACGTCAGAGCTATTTTTAGATAACATAAGGAAATTGCGCATAAATGTCACTAGACTTTTTAATTAACTTGTTTTAAAAGTTAGAAAGCTAGTTACGTTAACCCGCTCTACAAACTTTGTCGAAGATGGTTGGGAGGTGTGCGGGGGGGGGGGGGGGGGCTCTTTTGTCGCGAACAAGAGCTAAAAACATAAGTATATTGTACAGAATAGGTCTTTTCTTTTTTGTTTCATAACAAGTCCTAATACTGCAATTTTCATTTAGTTAAGGCCACTAAGGCTACTAAACAATGTAAAAATGGTACAACACCACAACAGGCGATGATGCTTTGTTACTTTGTTCAACCTAACTGATAATATAAAACTATAATATACTATTATCGAAATTGTTCTAAAGACACAACCAAAAGTAGACCAAAAGCTTGCATCTTATACAAACTACATACTAAAGCAGTGATTCTTAATCTTTTTGGAGGTACCGAACCCTACCAGTTTCATATGTGCCTTCGCCGAATCCTTCTTAATAACTTTAGGGTCAACATTGACAAAATCTGAGCGTGAATCATATGTGGGGTGTGTGTCTTGACCTCCGCCGAAGCTCTGAGACTTACATACCGAACTCTTGGGTTCGATCGAACCCAAGTTTAGAACAACTACTCTAAGCTCGTTTGGATTTCCTTCTTTTTTTTTTGTTTCGGTTTCCTAAGGAGCATAGGCGTAGGCAACACTTCGTCAACTCACTTGATTTTTATGAAGATAGAATAGAACCCTAGTTCAAACGATTTTCTTCAGGCATTTTTTGTGTCTCCTTCTCTTCCTCTTTCGCCGTGGACTTTACACCAGCACCTACTTAGAGTTGTTCTTTACTGTATTTCTGATATTGTGCGCTAGCCACCACTTTTTCCATGCTCTTATTTCATTCTCCACTGTCTGTAATCTAGCTGCGAGCCATACAGTAAAAGAGACTTCACATTTAGCTATAGATCCTGACTGAATTTTTTTGACAATGCACTTGAATTCCACATTGTCTTAGAGTGTTAAAACGCGTTTAATTGCTGCTGATATAATCAGGACGTCATGGGCGGTGCCACTATCATTAAACTGGCCATTACTGCTTCTTCAACCAGTACAATTAGTTCTGTATTTGTTGTTTACTGTGGACGAGAAGGCAGCGCACATCTGATAAATCCAAGACTTCGGGCTGTTAACAGCCGTTGGATTTCAGTTTGTTTCCTCTAGCTTGTTTTGTTATTCCATCAACTAGTCAACGAAATACCCATGTCGTATTCCAATGCGATCAATAAATGTTTCTGTTAAGTTGCTCGTGTATGTCACTTGTATGACCTTATTCTAACAAACTTATAATCCAACTATGTACCATATCACAACAGAGATCGTTGCAAAAATAGAACATAAAAGCTGGTCTAAACAAATTAGAGCGTGCTACAAACCACCCTCTAACTCAGATCAGGCTTTTTTTCTGACATTTCTAATCTTTTGTAAAAGGAAAACGCATCTTAATGGGAATTTAATAAAGTTTTAATGAACGAAAATCATACACTGTAATTACTAAACCTTCACCGGACTGTCGCACACACGCTAATACACACACACATACACGCTTACTTATACACGCTTATACACACATTTACGCTTACACTCACACACGCTTACACACACACGATTATATACACACACACATATATATATATATATATATATATATATATATATATATATATATATATATATATATATATAAGCGGGGGGGGGGGGCAAATTGAAAGTTCGCCCCGGGCGCCGGGAAGGGTCGCTACGCCTCTGTACAGCGGGTATCCGTTGTGTAGTTTATGCCAGTCTGGTCGTGGTAAACATTCCTGTGGTCCTGCATTGGTCCCTACTCATGTTGTTATGATCTGGTCCTTGTATTTAAATTGTCCTGTCCTGGTCCCAATAAACACTAGTCCATATAAACCAACACAAAATATTGCCGTCTTGCCTACTATGTTAGCCTATTGCCGTCTTGCCCTAATTTGTTAGCTATTGCTGCCTTGCCTATTGTGTTGGCCTATTGCCTACTGTGTTGGCCTATTGTCACCACCATAAGTTTCCGTTGCCTCCTGCCACCTAGATCTTATCATGTCCACGTGACCCCCCAAAAAACACGGCGTAAAAAAGTTGATTGAAGCTGAAGCAGTTTTCCCGGTTCATCTGTGTATCAGAGATGAGCTGTTACTTGTCTACTCACTGTAGGCTATCGCGCGCCAACACACACGCGCGGTGACCTACTTCAGCACTACACGGAAGCTAGCACCAAGTTTTGTGCCAGAGAAAATCGCCGACACGATAAATCGCCGGACCTCGCAGCCTCCCTACACACCACGGTGTGTTTAGTCCAGCTGTTGTTGGGTCGTGTTAGACAGTCCATGTGTAGGCTTGATTAGAGGGCAGTCAGTCTGACCATTAAAACATGGGGTTTCAGTAATTAAGTAACTCAGCACCCTTGGATATTTTTCCTCACAAAACTCGCCAATAGAATCGCCTCATAGTGAAGTTTTCGATGAAACTTTGAAACGGCTGCCCAGTACCACTTAGCTCTAGTTTAAGTTAAACTTAAAACATAGATGGATCGATTTAGTGGCGAATCAACACTCAGTTTGGTTTTGATGCCTACTTGAAACGTTTGAAAATCTCAAAAAAGTTTATTGCCAATTAATGCCAATTAACTATATAAATTAGTTTTATGGAGCAAAAGGTTTGACTACCAACAATAAAAAAATAATGAGTACAAATCACACCTAGGACTATTATACGCCTGTGTCTATATCACTATTTTACACCCACCCGCATATCGCTATAAAAAATGTGATAATTTAAATTGATGTTGCTTTTGTGAGGGGCTCTCCATATGTGACGTCACCTTCTGAGTTTTACGAAAATCTTTGTTATGGTGGGTGGCGTAGTATAGTTTTTGCTTTTCTAAAATATTGATTTTCGTTAACTCTGAAAACAGGGTAAGAGAGGGGGTGTATAGTTCTGAGTCTTAACTTTTTGTATCAACCGCAGGAGGGGAGGGGGGGAGGGGGGGGGGACGACAGTCTAAATTATCGTGGGCTATAGAAAACCTCAAAGTAAGACTGCGTGAGGAATGTGGATACATTAAAAACGTGTCTCCTCCGTTCAATATTTAAATATCATTTAATTAGCGCGATTTATTTATTTCTCTTCATTAACTGACATGACGTTCATAAAGCAAATTAGAAGTCTAATTGGTAGTAATTACACTAAATGACGCTCCTAAAAATATTAGTGTTTTGAAAAAGTCTACCCATCCAGACAAAAAACGCTAAAAAAATAGGGCTTTCTCTGCCGATATATTACACACTCATTTTCTAAATATTGAATAAAAATTATTACAATATGTATACAATTTCTGAAAATCAATTGATGTAATTTATGCCAGTCCGGTCCTAATAAACATTCCTGTGTGTTCCTGCAGTGGTCCCTATTTATGTCCTTATATTGGCTGTATCCATGTAATTAGACCAATTAAAATTAATTGAACAAAGAGCAGATTTTCAAGACTTCCCAAACCCTCATCTCTTCTTTCTTCCAAAGAAAAATTAATGAACACTAAATTTAAGCGTAATTAATTGCTTACCTTGTGCTCAGTTAATCATCCCCTCATTTGCCCCTCATTTTAACGTTTAAAATTCACATTTTCTCGCACACACTACATCTTATCCATGTGTTTGCCCACGTATTTTTAGCTAAACATTGGTACTCAAAGCTCCAAGTAGTCGGGTAGCCAGATCAAATTTCTGCCGTTTTTTGTCAGAAATATTCAAAACGAACCCCCCCCCCCAACTTTTCTGTTTTCAATTACTCCATTTAATTAACGATTTTGTAATATTCCTAAAAAAGTAAATACTGGTTATTGTGTGATTATTATGTATGATGTGTTATTCGTTTTTGCTAGGCACTGCCATTATTTGATTGCAATATGTTTAACACTAACTAGGATGTGATCTTTCTTGACATCACATGGCCTACACAAACTACCTTAAAATTTGTTGAGTAGTACTCCCTATTACTCATTAGGTATTAGCGTACTTTATATTCACATCGCTATCTTTAACAGTTTTGCTATTTTTTTTTAAATACATAGAAGATTATTAATTTATTCAAAATAGCCAAAATACCTCGCAAGCAAATATATAATGTGCAAAAATGGGTAAGCAGAAATAAAAAGCGATACCTACTTGCACACACTGTTTTGTCTTACTATTATTTAGTCGAGGCTGTGCTTTAAAACATATTTTTCAAATCACATATAGTAACCACGAATGAAAATCACAAGGGAAAAAATGTTAACGTTGAAGGGAGATGTGAAACATAAATATATGCTGATTTTAAAATGCCAAAATGGCAACTCTGGCTTAAATTGTTTTGAATCTACACTCACACGCACTGCGCGTTGGCCCCCTGCGTGCACTGGTAATTTACTGGCATAGCTCAGCGAACGGCGGGGAAGTGAGCGAGGGGGGGGGGGGGAGAAGAGGAACTAACAGAAAACAGAAACGTTTCATTGATTAAAAAAACATGCCATACTTCAAAGTTAAACTTCGCCTACAGTTTCAAAATATAAATTGGCAATGCACGCTTTGGATAATCGCTTTGATTCAATTTCAAATGTTAGTTTATAACTGGGACATCATAACTTTACAAACTGGGACGTCATAACTTTACAAACTGGGACGTCAAACAGTCGGGGAGTTGTTTGATTAGATCAAGGTCTGTGAGAAAACAGAAATTACATTTTACGGTGGTCACCGGTTAACATGGTAACAAGCTGATGGGGTATGAGGGAGGGGGGGGGGGGAGATGAAAGTATGCCTCGTTCCATAATGGGATGCAGGGGAGGGGTGAATTTAGAAACTGTGTTTCCTTTGTGCATCTCTTCAGTAAGCATCGTCCGCCTCTCCCCCCCCCTTCCGAAGCATGTTTACCCCACACCCCGAACGAAATAGAATTTATATAGAAAATAAATAATTTTGCCCGTGTCCGCCCCCCCCCCCCACCCCGGAATCTTACTTAACCCCCCTCCATCCCCACCCCGTAAGTTTCAAGGGAGGGTGGGAAGTATACATCAAACGGCATCCAACTTCTCCATTAAAGAAGCATTTTTAAAAACTGAAGGTCTAACCCCCCCCCTCCCCCCCCCCCATACACACACTTCTCGACTCCATTCATTGAATTGCACTTTACAAAACAATTCGCGGTTTTCACATTTCTGTCGTCCCCCTTTAAACTACAAAAACACAAACTTTACTTTTTGAATATCTTTTCTCAACCTAGCTGTCTCTAAAAAAGGCTATTATTAATAAGGTTGTTGTTATACTTTTGATATATTACTAGATTTATATCAGTTTCTTCCAGGCATCTATTCAAGGGAACGAAATGAAATTTATATAGAAAATATATACTTTTAACAGCGTCCGTCCCCCGGAAATTTTAGTCCTCCCCCCCCCCCCTACCCGGATACGTGACCTGGAAGAAGACACCAAGAATCAAGAAGATTGGATACACTGGGGAGCAGTGTTTCTTCCAGACTTTTTTCTCCGGGGGGGGGGGGGGGGCACTTGAAATTTTCGGGGGGCGGGGGGGGGGGGGCGGTAGACTTTCTTCGGGGGGGGGGGGGGGCGGACACTGTTAAAAGTATATATTTTCTATATAAATTATATTAATTTCATTTCGTTCGGGGGGGGGGGGGGGGGGGCGGTAAAAAATTTTCGGGGGGGGGGGGGGCAAAGCCTCCCCGAAGAGATGCCTGGAAGAAACTCTGCTGGGGAGAGTTGGAGGGACCAGAGGCGTAGCGACCCTTCCCGCGCCCGGGGACAAACTTTCAATTTGGCTTGGCGCCCCCCCCCCCCCCCCATATATTTTTTTATATTTATGTGGCTTGGCGCCTCCCCCCCCCCCCCCCCCACATATATTTTTTAATATTTATAATGCAAAACTGCAGCTAAAATGAGCTTTTAATTTTGTACGACAGGCAAACCTTACCTAATCTAACCCCCACCCGGAGAAAAAAAAGTCTGGAAGAAACACTGATTTAGATCTAGATCTATATTGATTACAGTGGTCTCATTAGGTTGAGTGATATCCATTTCGGTAACTGATGGTTTATTTGTAAGTATATAGGCTATGTTGGTAGAGGAGGGGGTGGGGGTTCCAAGCATCCACTTCCCTCGCAATATCTGCATGTCGCTTTACAAATTAAAATAGGCCTACACTCAAAAATACTGAAACAAAACATATAATAAAATATTAAAATATGCACACAAAAATAGTTTTTAAGACTGAACGTTCCCCGATTTCTTTGTTCTTCCATTGTTGAGATAGGTTTAATAAAAAGGTAATCAAAATAATTTTACTTTTTGTCTTGTATCATTTGATTATTCAGAAAGTATTGAGCGAAAATGTGTGTCTACAATAGCTTCCGCTTTGCTGTTTCCGGGACACAAATTATTCTTATCTATTAATTAATTAAATAATTTCACAAGTTGAATCTAATTCTTGGTGACTTTTATGGATTAAAGTATATGATTAGCCTAATTAACTGTATATAGATCTGTTTGTTCAAACATGGATGATGTGAATAGTCATAAATCATCATCTTTAGAAGAAAATGCTTCATTATTAATTGGTGGTGATTCTGCAAAGGCAGCAGATGCAGAAAAAATTATTCCATCTGTAGAAGAGTCCGATAAAAATAACCACGATGATATAGATCTAGATCGAAGTATTAAGCAAAATGATGATTATTACGAAGTCATTTCTGCTGATGGCAGTATAGGGGGTGAAGATATAGATGGGAATGATATAGAAAATGACAACGTATGCTCCAACAGTACCTTTCAAAATGAGCAGTGTTCTTTTTTAGATCTACCTTTTGTTCCCAAAATTGATTTTCCTAATGAAGCATCCAAATCTGCTAGTACTGATTCTAATAGCTTTCATTTTGAACCTATTTTTGGTTCTCATAATGTTGTTAATCATTGTAATACCACACCTAATGTTTTGCCACAATTTGATTTTTCAAAACCCCCACCTAATTTAAATTTTACTGCCAATCCCCATACTTCATGTTTTGTTGATTCTGAAATAAACCCAAATTTAACACCTCAGGGTCATATTGGTTTCGGCAATGCATCTTCAAAACATTTCAGTGCAATTTCAAATAATAGTAATAGTGCTTCATCTGTTATTCTCAGTAAAGACCATAAGTCCAGTCCCAGTTCTACTTTAACACAAGTAGCAAAGGCTCCTATTGTAGACTGGCTAGATGAAAATGGTGATCCGATTAAAGGTGCTTTCGATAACATTCCAATTCATGTGAGTGAAGAGGCAGAAGATGCTGCTAAAAGTTCTAAGGTTGAATATGTGTTTTCTGTGAAAGAAAAGAAAAAGGTATCAGTGTCTAGTGATTTTAGTGATGTTGTGAGTACTAGTTCTCTAATCAATACCAATGTGTTACTTAAAAATGTAGCAGGAAAAGTTTCAATAGATAGTTCTACTGCTAGTGATCCTAAAATTTATGAAGAGGAAAAGAAACTTTACTTAGCTTCCAAAAGTGGTGAGGAATATAAAGCAGCAATACTTTCAAATACACCTTCAACATCTGCTGAGGCTACTGCAGTTCCCAGTGGAAAGACTTTATCTGAAAACGAAAATGCTAAAAAAGAACGTTACAATAGATTTAGACGAAATAGATTTACAGACAAAAAGGATGATCCAGTACCTGAGGCTGTGCCAAAAGAAGAGCCGAAAAAGACACAAGAAGAAGTAGCACTGGAAAGGTAAACACAATGAAATATCCATACAATTATATGTTTTTACTTGTGTAATGTGTAGGACTAGTGATCATCTTAAATTTATTAACTTTGTTAATTTAGAAAAAGATTATCATTATCTTAGATGCATGTATTAGTTAGTGCAATTATTAAACTTTATAAAAATAGTAGGCCTACACATTACTACTCTTACAACAAAAATTGAATGTCCAATCTATCCCCATGGACAATTTTAATTTTCATATCTAACCCTTTATCAATAGAAGTAATGTTCATGCTATGAATTTCTTTTCTCCAGTCAAGCTGTGGTTGAGATCCTTAAAGAAGTACAGAGAGGGGCTGAGAGGGCCAAAGAACACGGTGCCCTTGGGTGGTAAGATTAGGCTTTAGTTGATACAAAAAGTTTCTAAAACTATGCACACTATATTTATCTTTTACCAGCTGAGAAAATAATAAGATGCATTCAATTTAAATAATTTGAGGAGAAACCAAGTGACGATTATCTAAAACTTGCTGTAATCTAATTTAAACACACTTTCATAGATACTATTACAGGGAGATAACTTCTTTTGTTAGTGATGGTATGCTGTTTACTACTTTTAACATACATAAGTCTTTTAGTAATAATTGTTATCTTACCTTTTGAAATGTATCATTGAGATGTATCTGTATTGTGTTGTTGCACAGAATAAAAAAAATTAGAAAATCTTGTAAATTGTGTGATCAAATTGATGTTTAGCATTATATTTTTTATACATCCTCTACTGTTAAAGTTGCCATGTCAAATACTTGCTAATAATAAATCTATATTTGATAGGCAAAAGTGCCCCGTTCCAGTTACTAATAAAACATTTCTACGCAACACCCTGGTGAGCACCCTGAGGGAACCATACAGACCTCCAAGCAAGCGAGGAAGATTTCACGTTGGTTTAGATGGGGACAAAAAAGGGCGTGATGAGAAGGATGGGGAGGCTAGCAGCAGGTCTTCAAGGTGAACCAGACACTTTTCTACAGTTAACACATCATTGGATACTCAAGATTATAATTTAGTCCAAAGGCTCTTTAGATGTACCAAGTGAAAGTTTTTAGTCATTTAAAAAACAATCTCATTTTAAAGATTTTTTTTTTACGGCCAAAATTACAAAAAATAAATTAAATTTTCTTTTTAATCCAGAATTCTAATTGAAATTAATAATTTTAAAAATACTCAAAGTAGTGTTGTAATGACACATTTAAAAAAGGAGCATTTGCTTACATCTGGAATTAAACAGAAGCAGCTTCAAGTTAATAAATTAGCTATAAATTATTGAAAAATAAAAAATATGGGAAAATATATATGCACTTAAGATTATTTAAATATTAACATTTTTAATGTTGTAAAATTTGATCTGGTTCAGGTCCAGTCGTAGCTCTAGTAGAAGCAGTCGAAGCTACAGCAGCCGCAGTAGTGATAGAGAGCTGCCAAGTGCACAGGGTAAACACTTCCAGAATAACAGAGGGCGAGGGTCCTGGGCCAGAGGACAAAACCAGTACTTTGATGCATGGGCGGCGTACTATGGGGGCTACCAGTGGTACGGCCCTGAGGCCTATGGCATGTACTACGGCCCTGAGGGCTGGCCAATGGATGCTTACACTGCCATGTATTACGGGGATCCACAAGCCTGGGCAGAGTATGAAGCTTACTATGGTCCTCAAAACTTCAGAGGAAGAGGAATGAGAGGGCGGGGAAGAGGCAGAGGGCGGGGCAGATTTCCTGAAGATTTTAGAAACATGGAGCATTACTCTAGAAGTAGAAGCAGATCTCCTGGTTATTCTAGATCCCCTTCTAGCAGTTTCTTGTCGTATAGTAGGTCTCGGAGCAGGTCGCTTAGCAGATCTAGGAGCAGATCTGTAGGGGGTAGCAGGACCTACAGGGCTAAATCCTCTAGAGAGAGGTCCAGGAGCATGTCTGCAGGGGGCAGCAGGACCCACAGGATTAAGTCTTCTAGGGGTAGGTCCCGGAGCATATCTGCTGGTGGGAGTAGGACCCAGAGGGCTAAATCTTCCAGGGAGAGGTCCAGAGTCTCTACCCACAGCAAACATTCAGATTCAGTGTCCAAAGAGAGAAAGAAAAAGAAGAAGAAGAAAAAGAAGCATAAAAAGAAGTCTAAAAAATCCAAGGAGGGGAAAGAAGAAAAGGATGGTGAAAAGGCCAGGGATAAAGAATTTGAAAAGGCCAGGGGAGATAAAGAAGACAGTGAAGAGATACACAAAAATGACTTGTCTGGTTCTAGGAAGGAAGGTAAGCAAAAAAGCAATGAGAAAACTGCTGCTGAAGATTCTAGGAAAAAGCCAAAAGAAATGAGCAGTAAGAAGGGTAAAGGGAAAAACAGAGTAAAAAATTTGAAAGATGATGAAGATGGGCCTAGAGATACCCATTCAACACACGATGGGTGTGGGACAGGGCCTGATGAAAGTGTGGGTCAAGGGAAACCAGGAAGGGCTAGTGACAGCAAAACTTGTGAAAAAGTGTTGAAGCAAGATGCACCAAACAGGAAACAAACACAAAATGATATTGAAGAAGAAAGTGGTAGTCACTCTAATGACAGGAGAGTGATCAGACTTGGCAAGTTTAGTGGTAAGGAGGGGACGCAATCAGAGAAAAGTAGGGAAAAAGTGAAAAGTAGACTTGGCAAGTCTAGCAGTGAGGAGGTGACACAAGCAGATAAAAGTAGGGACAGTGTGAAAAGTAGACTTAAGTCTAGCAGTGAGGAGGTGACGCAAGTAGAAAAAAGTAGGGACAGTGTGAAAAGTAGACTTGGCAAGCCTAGCAGTGAGGAAGTGACGCAAGTAGAAAAAAGTAGGGACAGTGTGAAAAGTAGACTTGGCAAGTCTAGCAGTGAGGAGGTGACGCAAGTAGAAAAAAGTAGGGACAGTGTGAAAAGTAGACTTGGCAAGTCTAGCAGTGAGGAGGTGACGCAAGTAGAAAAAAGTAGGGACAGTGTGAAAAGTAGACTTAAGTCTAGCAGTGAGGAGGTGACGCAAGTAGAAAAAAGTAGGGACAGTGTGAAAAGTAGACTTGGCAAGTCTAGCAGTGAGGAGGTGACGCAAGTAGAAAAAAGTAGGGACAGTGTGAAAAGTAGACTTAAGTCTAGCAGTGAGGAGGTGACGCAAGTAGAAAAAAGTAACTACAGTATAATCAGTAAACAGAGCAAAAAACCAGCTGTTTCAGACAGAAAAGAAAATGATTCTAAAAGAAAGAGTGTAGATGCAGTTCAGAAAAAAGTAAAGGATAAATTGCTAAGCAGGCCTAATGGTTCAGAAACTTCCCCAAAAAGTAGTAAAAGTTGCGTTGAGAAAAGTTCTTCTCATGAGAGGAAGCGAAGAAGAGAATCAGAGGATAATAAAATTGATTTGAGAGATAGTTCTTGTGATAGAGAAGTCGGTGCAAAGAGAATTCGAGAAGACAAAGATATTAAAGAAACTTTGGATAATAAAAGTAAACTAAAGGAGACGCGTGAAGACAGACAACACTCAGAAAAAAACTCTAAGGAGACTGCTGAAGAAACATCGGAGAAAAACAAATCTAGGGAGGCCCGTGAGGAAACATCAGAAAAAAACAAATCTAAAAAGCTTTATGAGGACAAACAAACAAAAGATGGTAAAAACAATTTAAAGAAAATGAAAAGATATGAAACCAGTCCAGGTGAATCAGACAAACAAAACAAAAGATGGTAAAAACAATTTAAAGAAAATGAAAAGATATGAAACCAGTCCAGGTGAATCAGACAAACAAAACAAAAGATGGTAAAAACAATTTAAAGAAAATGAAAAGATATGAAACCAGTCCAGGTGAATCAGACAAACAAAACAAAAGATGGTAAAAACAATTTAAAGAAAATGAAAAGATATGAAACCAGTCCAGGTGAATCAGACAAACAAAACAAAAGATAGACAACTATAAGCTATTGATTCATCCAGTCTCATTTTGGACAAAGAAATTTGTTGACCCCATTAAGTGATCTGAATCACCTCTGTGTTGGCAATGTAAACTTAGATAAATTTGTTTTGTTATAGTAGACAGCTTCAAGTAATTGTGCTAGTTGTTGACCTGGCCACCACAGGAATGTTGTGCTCTCAGTCAAATCTTGGTTATGGCCACAATTCAAATAGTCTCATGATTCACAACTGCTGTTAGTTTATTCTCCTACATCTGCTATAAAAATACAACTACGTAATATAAACAAATAAAGGCCTACAATCATTCAGCAGATTATTTCACATCACACATGCTTACTTTCCACTCACTCATTTACTACTAACTCTACCATCACACATTATAATTACAGTAACCTAAGAAATAATTTGCTTGGTGGAAAAGTTTTTGCTGCAATTAAAACCATCAGTCTACCGATTTGTTCAATAATTCTTGGTTCACTACAAAGTTTAAAGGGTACACAAGTATTTTCTTTACTATGGGTACCTAGTCATTTGCATTTTGTATAGATTTGCAGTAAGATTGTTCAAATTGTTTTAGCTGTAAGGGCATTATGTACATTAGAATTTTCATCTTGTTTTTAAGTGTGGTCAATGGTGAGGTTATATTATTGTCTAATACCTGTTATGTGTTCTTAATTATAACATGAATTTGTTCCTAGGAAAAACAAGAAATTAAATAATATTGTATTGTATTGCTAAAGTAAAATGTCAAGAAATTAAGTTAAGTTCTGTTGCTAAAGTAATAGATTAACTGTATAAGAAACATTGTATTTCCTTGATTGTAATTATTTACCTTGATCCTAGAGAGATACCTTTTCAGACCTGGCAGTCAATAGTGTAGATGAAGTGGAGTTCATCTGTTTCTGTAACCACTGCAATAAAGGGATGGTGTGGTCATTTCTACGGCCAGCTACCTTTCTTTTCCTGATGTCAGTTGAGTTAGGTGAACTCAGGGACGTCCTACAGACTAAGTCCAAATTTTTGGGTTCGCAGTTGTTTGATCTATGCCTCAGCAGGATGTAATTCTACTGATGGATGTGAGCTGATACAAATGTTTGCTTGAATCATGGCAACACTGATTGCTGACTCCAGTTTGAGATGCTTGTCAGATACAGGATGGTTGCTTACAATGTAAGCTATATATATTGAAGTTACACATGTATAAGTGTATTGTGCTGTCTACACTGTCAGTTTCTGTCATCAGGTGTCATCTACCTGTCTTGGTGTGTCAACAGATCCAGATGTTTGACCAACAATTTTTAAAATTATATTTTTGTGTTTAACTTTAACAAAAACACAGTATTTGAGTTGGCTATGTAAGGTGCATTGTAATAGTTTGACCATCTGTACTATTTTATTTTGGTTTTTAGTTTAATAATAGTAGTTTCTTTTTTGTGGTAAATTGAACTTTTAAAATAGGTTTCTGTATAGTGTAAATAAATGTATATACGCTTATTATTAATTGACAATTGAATAAAACATTGTTTCATTGCAATTTTTAGTTTTCCTTTAGTCAAACTATCTGATAAATATTAGTTAAATTCTCATTCTGAAATGGCTATATCAGAGATAACTAGATTTAAGTTAATAGGTTATTATAATTTTGATTGCAGTCTTAATAAAAAGCAAAATAACTGCCAGCAATAATTTAAAAATGCATTATTGCCATCACTCTTCCTGGAGCACCTCAACACCACTGAATCCATTTCCCTTAGGTGTGTAACATTATAAATGGACAACCCATTAATGTCATAACACACAAAAGTATACTTGAACCTAGGTCACTAAAAAATATTTCGTCAATAAAAATAAACTGGGGTAAGTAAACAAATAAAATGACTTGCATGTCATAAGACCACCATAGATTAAGATTAGTTCGATTGGAAGAGGAATGTTATCTCAAAAAAAAATTCAATTTTAAAATTGTTGAATTCGGTATCCAACTTGAATAAACCTGTTATTGTTAATTAAGAAAAACAGAAAAGTATAAGAGAAAAGATTGTATGCACACAGATGTAAATATATTATATATATATATATGTTATAAGCCTAATTATAAATGTATTATTAATTATCAAAATAAACAAATATTAGGCCTAAAAAAGATATTTTTAAATTTTGGTCTGAAAAATGGCAAATTTTCAAAATTTGATCTGGCTGCAAATAGATTCTCTTTGAACAAGTCTAGGCTATGACTCTATGTTCAAATGTTGGAATGAATGATGCAGTGTAGTAGTAGACAATACTTTCTTTATCTTTATTGCTGATATTTCAAAACATGTCGCAAAGTGATGTGGATATTTTAAAACGTCAAGGTAATTCGATGTATTAAACTTTAAACAAGTAAACTTTAGTAAACAAAAACAATGTTCTAAAGAAGGTAAAGTCCTGGTAAAGTCAGTAAAGTTGCTACTGCTACTCGAGTACTCAGAGTACTCGACAAATGACGTCAAATTGAAATAGATTCTAGATCTAGTTAATAGTTAGATCTAGATCTACTTATTAAATCTACTAGAACTTAATGACAAAGTTAATGATTAATTAGTTAATGAGTCAGTTAATGACTAAGGCCTACAGAGTACAGAGCAGAGAGTAGCTAGACTAGATCTACTAACTACTAGAATCTAGATCTAGTAGTAGTTTACTAGTAGTACTAGATCTAGATTCTAGTACTACTACTACTTTTACTTTTAGTACTTTACACTACTGCTACAGTCTACCTACAATCAGTGTTTCTTCCAGACTTTTTTCTCCGGGGGGGGGGGGCACTTGAAATTTTGGGGGGGGGGGGGGGGGGGGGGCGGTAAACTTTCTTCGGGGGGGGGGGGGCGGACACTGTTAAAAGTATATATTTTCTATATTAATTATATAAATTTCATTTGGTTCGGGGGGGGCGGTAAAAATTTTTTGGGGGGGCTTAGCCCCCCCGAAGAGATGCCTGGAAGAAACTCTGCCTACAATCCTACAGTGCACTAACACTGCAGTACTACACACACTCTCCTACCTTCTCCTAAGACTGACCTAAGACCTACTCTACCCGCTACACCCACTACAGTACTACGTACACCAGTACTACTGTACTACCGTTACTACGAGTTAGGGTCCTGTTGAAATTTTTTACAAATCATACATCAACTGTTTGTGTTGATGTTTATTAATATTACTATTACTCAAAATTATGCCTAGTATAAAGTATATATGTCACTAACTAGTAACTATGTCTGAACCATTGAATCTTCCAACAATACTTAAAATACTAAATAGATAAAATACTAATACATGATTGAAGATACCTAGTCTATGTCCTATAACAGACTCTTTGAAAAAGAGGCATGTTGGGTTGTTTTGTTAGTAGTATTGTAATCTCGACTAGTTTTATGGCTAGAAATAAGGGTTAGGTGTATGATAGGAATAGGGTTTGGGCTAGGAATAGTGTTAGTGTTAGCATTGACATTAGCAAGCCATGTGTGTGTTTAATTTTAGTTAACCACAAATAACCTAACACCCATTTTTTAAGAAGATTCTATTATCGGACACTGGTATAATAAATCCCCTGTCCCCTGTTAATAAAGTCAATGCTAACCCTAACTGTAGCTTGTAATCCCAGTCCTACACACCTAAACCATAAATCTAGACTAGTGTCACTAGTAGATTACAATACTACTAACAACCTAACACACATATTTTCAGAAGAATCTATTATTGGAAATCTGTATCCGCAATCATCCCATAATTGTATTGAGTATTCATGAGTTTACCCCCTGCAACCTAACACCCCCTTTTTAAGAAGATTATAGCACCAGTATAACACAAACCCCTACCATAGCCTTAACCCTAATTTTCTGACCATAAGTAACACTAAACCTGAGACTACTTATACTAAAAACAAACTAACGCCTATTTTCTCTCTGACAAGTCTATGGTCGGACATTGGTTATACCATAACTCCCTTTATAATACCTTAGCCTTAACTGTAATTTCTGACTATAACACTATACCTGAGATTATAACAACCTAATGCACCTGCTTTACTTCAGAAGAGTCTATTTTCCTATATATCTATTATACCTATATTGTCCTATATCTATTATACCTTGTATATTGTCCTGCACACCTAATGCCTAATGATATAGGGCTGAATGTATACTAAGCTATAGGTGTATAGTTATATATTTAATAAGATAGTTGATCTAGATTATATTATATATAGAAATGAACAATATATTCTATATTTTAATCGATAACAATGTGTTAACATTTCAGTAAGCAACCTCAGTACACTACTTTCTCGCTACCAAGAGGCATATCCAAATTTTGTACTAGAAGAGAATGAAATTTCAAAAGTAAGGCTATGTCTTAAGTGCTTTCTTTATTGCCCATTTAGATTTAATTTTTCTAGATTTGTGTGTGTGTGTGTGTTGATGTTGCAAGGTTTTTATCAAATACTGATTAGCAACTCCTATTTTTCAGTCTAGTGTTTTTTTTATTTTAGTTTTTAATTATTTTTTGACAGGTGAAACATTTTGTCTTATTAGTTAAATAATTAATTAATATCAATAAAAATTTGCTTATAAATAAATTATTGCAGGCATAGATCTAGATGGTTAATACATTTTTGATATTTCTAGGAAGAGGCTAAAGATCAACCTTGGTATTCAGTTAGCAAGTAAGCTTTACTTATCAGTACAAGTGTAAACTCTATCCATAAGAGTACTCCTGCAAACACATTTTTTTCAAACAGCTGACATTAATTCCTTACCTCATGTAGTTTTCTTAGTGCAGTATTTTTTATATTGTAACCTGTTTAAATGCAAAAAATAAATGAACCTTAAAGTAAGATAAATAAATTAATTTTTTCTCTAGTCAGCTGAACCCATTGTTTCGAGAATATGATGCAACTATATTTGGCTTGGAAAAGAAAATATCAGATTTACAGGTAGTTAATCTTTTGAAGATCAGAAGTTGCTTGTTTAGATAGCAATCTTTTACTGAACATGCACTGATCACTAATCTGGTTAATCCTTGTGTCTTATCAGGATGAAATACAAAGGCTGAGGACTCAAGCTAAAGATTTAATCAATGAAAATGAGAGGCACGTTGATTTTATTATCAACTTTTGTTTGTTTACTTTGTCTTTAGCCAATACTTGAAGAAGCTCTAATGTGCTTTAGTTTTGTTAACACTTGGTTAAGTTTCTCCCACATTTGCTTAAGTTTCTCCCACATTTGTTCAGGGTTCACCAAGAGCTCAAAGAGTCGATACAAAATGCCATGTCAGCAGGCCATGGTGTTGGTGGAGGGGACGGAGAGGCGGGGGACATGGCACTGGTACAGAACCTGCAACAGCAGCTGGATTTGGCTACACAGGTAGAAACTTTGGTAGCACAGGTAGAAACTTTGGTAGCACAGGTAGGAACATTTCTAGCACAGTAGAAACTTTGGTAGCACAGGTAGAAACATTTCTAGCACAGGTAGAAACTTTTGTAGCACAGGTAGGAACATTTCTAGCACAGGTAGAAACTTTGGTAGCACAGGTAGAAACTTTGGTAGCACAGGTAGAAACATTTCTAGCACAGGTAGAAACTTTTGTATTACAGGTAGAAACATTTCTAGCACAGGTAGAAACATTTCTAACACAGGTAGAAACTTTTGTATTACAGGTAGAAACATTTCTAGCACAGGTAGAAACATTTCTAGCACAGGTAGAAACATTTCTAGCACAGGTAGAAACATTTCTAGCACAGGTAGAAACATTTCTAGCACAGGTAGAAACATTTCTAGCACAGGTAGAAACATTTCTAGCACAGGTAGAAACTTTTGTATTACAGGTAGAAACATTTCTAACACAGGTAGAAACATTTCTAACACAGGTAGAAACATTTCTAGCACAGGTAGAAACATTTCTAGCACAGGTAGAAACATTTCTAGCACAGGTAGAAACTTTTGTATTACAGGTAGAAACATTTCTAGCACAGGTAGAAACATTTCTAACACAGGTAGAAACATTTCTAGCACAGGTAGAAACATTTCTAGCACAGGTAGAAACATTTCTAGCACAGGTAGAAACTTTTGTATTACAGGTAGAAACATTTCTAGCACAGGTAGAAACATTTCTAACACAGGTAGAAACATTTCTAGCACAGGTAGAAACATTTCTAGCACAGGTAGAAACATTTCTAGCACAGGTAGAAACATTTCTAGCACAGGTAGAAACATTTCTAGCACAGGTAGAAACATTTCTAGCACAGGTAGAAACATTTCTAGCACAGGTAGAAACTTTTGTAGCACAGGTAGAAACATTTCTAGCACAGGTAGAAACATTTCTAGCACAGGTAGAAACTTTTGTAGCACAGGTAGAAACATTTGTAGCACAGGTAGAAACATTTCTAGCACAGGTAGAAACATTTCTAGCACAGGTAGAAACTTTTGTAGCACAGGTAGAAACATTTCTAGCACAGGTAGAAACTATTCTAGCACAGGTAGAAACTTTTCTAGTACAGTTGCTAACATCCTTAGCCCAATTGTTGTGCAATATTTGATATACCTATTGGTTTGTTCTTTAATGTTTGATGTTGTAATGTTCTTCACTGATTTTGGTTTGTCATCTTTTAAAAAAACTTTGAAGGAGAAAGAAGCAGCTCAAGAAAAATGGAGGGAGGCCGTCCAAGAGGTGGATCGTCTTGAGGCAGAGCTTGAGGTTTGTGTTGATTCATTCATGGAACAGTTTGGGTTAGTTCAGGAGGTTATGGTTTAAATCTGGTTGTGGAACAGTTTGGGTTAGTTCAGGATGTTAAGGCTCTGGGTTTAAATCTGATTGTTCTAGTTGATCCCACTAATTTGTCCCTGAATGTATTTATAATGGGACTTGATAGAGCCACTGTTTTAAAGTAACCAGCCTGGTGATACATGTTTCAGATGGAGAAAGAAAGTCATCAGTGGAGGGTGGTGGAGCAACAAGCCCACCAGGTAAGAGGGTGGTGGAGCAACAAGCCCACCAGGTAAGAGGGTGGTGGAGCAACAAGCCCACCAGGTAAGAGGGTGGTGGAGCAACAAGCCCACCAGGTAAGAGGGTGGTGGAGCAACAAGCCCACCAGGTAAGAGGCTGGTGGAGCAACAAGCCCACCAGGTAAGAGGCTGGTGGAGCAACAAGCCCACCAGGTAAGAGGCTGGTGGAGCAACAAGCCCACCAGGTAAGAGAGTGGTGGAGCAACAAGCCCACCAGGTAAGAGGGTGGTGGAGCAACAAGCCCACCAGGTAAGAGGCTGGTGGAGCAACAAGCCCACCAGGTAAGAGGCTGGTGGAGCAACAAGCCCACCAGGTAAGAGGCTGGTGGAGCAACAAGCCCACCAGGTAAGAGGCTGGTGGAGCAACAAGCCCACCAGGTAAGAGAGTGGTGGAGCAACAAGCCCACCAGGTAAGAGGGTGGTGGAGCAACAAGCCCACCAGGTAAGAGGGTGGTGGAGCAACAAGCCCACCAGGTAAGAGGGTGGTGGAGCAACAAGCCCACCAGGTAAGAGGCTGGTGGAGCAACAAGCCCACCAGGTAAGAGGCTGGTGGAGCAACAAGCCCACCAGGTAAGAGGGTGGTGGAGCAACAAGCCCACCAGGTAAGAGAGTGGTGGAGCAACAAGCCCACCAGGTAAGAGGGTGGTGGAGCAACAAGCCCACCAGGTAAGAGGCTGGTGGAGCAACAAGCCCACCAGGTAAGAGGCTGGTGGAGCAACAAGCCCACCAGGTAAGAGGCTGGTGGAGCAACAAGCCCACCAGGTAAGAGGCTGGTGGAGCAACAAGCCCACCAGGTAAGAGGCTGGTGGAGCAACAAGCCCACCAGGTAAGAGAGTGGTGGAGCAACAAGCCCACCAGGTAAGAGGGTGGTGGAGCAACAAGCCCACCAGGTAAGAGGGTGGTGGAGCAACAAGCCCACCAGGTAATAGGCTGGTGGAGCAACAAGCCCACCAGGTAAGAGGCTGGTGGAGCAACAAGCCCACCAGGTAAGAGGCTGGTGGAGCAACAAGCCCACCAGGTAAGAGGCTGGTGGAGCAACAAGCCCACCAGTTAAGAGGCTGGTGCTGATTGGTTTCTTATCTTTTTAACCTATCTTGATTTGTCAAACTTTGAACCTATGGTGATAGGTTTCAACTGACTGACTGCAACAGTTTATTTTACTCCAGGTAAAGGAACAGTACCAGCAGTCTGTGGCTGCCCTTAATGCTGAGCTGGAATCTTTACACACCCAACTCAGGTATGTGTCCAATGGTCATGTTTCATTAACTCAGCTATGTAACTAGGCTAATTAAAACCATTTGACCTTTATAGATGGGACATAACACACACAGGAATAGAGGACAGTGTCATGATTTAATGGTACCACACATTAATCCAATCAAAAGCTTTTAAAATAAAATCCCAAAATACATATGTTATTCAAAAATGTTCTTCTTTATATTCATATGCTTAAAATTTAAAACATGGATATGCATATTCTGAGTGGAGGAATATATTTTTAAATTTATTTTACAGTATTTTACATTTTTACTTTATATAAATTAAGTAATTTCAAACTTGAGCTAAAATACTCAAGTTCTAAAAATAACGTTTCTTAATGTGACTTAAATTGTAGTTTGAAAAAAAATAAGACTAAACAAAACCATTAGTTCTATCAGAAACTACAAAACAAAAAACAAACTGCGAGTGTAGGATGAAAGGGTTAATTTCTAATTAATTTGTTAACCTAGTCTGTTGCTTGAACTTGACAAATGTTGGCATTTTCAGAGAAAGCCGGTCAGAAAATAACCAGTTGCTACAGAAAGTTACAGACTTAAAGATGGCAGTCAATGATCTACAGCAAAAACTCATTTGGAAGGTTGGATGTTCTAAATAGTTTCCAATTTGGAAAGTTGGATGTTCTAAATAGTTTCAAATTTGGAAGGTTGGATGTTCTAAATAGTTTCAAATTTGGAAAGTTGGATATTCTAAATAGTTTCAAATTTGGAAAGTTGGATGTTCTAAATAGTTTCAAATTTGGAAGGTTGGATGTTCTAAATAGTTTCAAATTTGGAAAGTTGGATGTTCTAAATAGTTTCAAATTTGGAAGGTTGGATGTTCTAAATAGTTTCAAATTTGGAAGGTTGGATGTTCTAAATAGTTTCAAATTTGGAAAGTTGGATGTTCTAAATAGTTTCAAATTTGGAAAGTTGGATGTTCTAAATAGTTTCAAATTTGGAAAGTTGGATGTTCTAAATAGTTTCAAATTTGGAAGGTTGGATGTTCTAAATAGTTTCAAATTTGGAAGGTTGGATGTTCTAAATAGTTTCAAATTTGGAAGGTTGGATGTTCTAAATAGTTTCAAATTTGGAAGGTTGGATGTTCTAAATAGTTTTAAATTTGGAAAGTTGGATGTTCTAAATAGTTTCAAATTTGGAAGGTTGGATGTTCTAAATAGTTTCAAATTTGGAAGGTTGGATGTTCTAAATAGTTTCAAATTTGGAAAGTTGGATGTTCTAAATAGTTTCAAATTTGGAAAGTTGGATGTTCTAAATAGTTTCAAATTTGGAAGGTTGGATGTTCTAAATAGTTTCAAATTTGGAAAGTTGGATGTTCTAAATAGTTTCAAATTTGGAAGGTTGGATGTTCTAAATAGTTTCAAATTTGGAAGGTTGGATGTTCTAAATAGTTTCAAATTTGGAAAGTTGGATGTTCTAAATAGTTTCAAATTTGGAAGGTTGGATGTTCTAAATAGTTTCAAATTTGGAAGGTTGGATGTTCTAAATAGTTTCAAATTTGGAAAGTTGGATGTTCTAAATAGTTTCAAAAATAAAAATGTGTAGCAACAATGGCTACTCATTTTTTTAACTGGTCAGGCTAAAAAATAGTGAGATAATTTTTGAAATTTTTTTTTATCCAACCAGGCCCAAGAAAATGCTGACACAATTTTTAAAGAAGGTTTATCAGACAGCAAGATCTATGAGCTAAAAACAATCATGGATGATCTTAGTCAAAGGTAGGTAACTCATAGAGGATCTTAGTCAAAGGTAGGTAACCCATATAGGATCTTAGTCAAAGGTAGGTAACCCATAGAGGATCTCAGTCAAAGGTAGGTAACCCATAGAGGATCTTAGTCAAAGGTAGGTAACCCATATAGGATCTTAGTCAAAGGTAGGTAACCCATATAGGATCTTAGTCAAAGGTAGGTAACCCATAGAGGATCTCAGTCAAAGGTAGGTAACCCATAGAGGATCTTAGTCAAAGGTAGGTAACCCATATAGGATCTTAGTCAAAGGTAGGTAACCCATAGAGGATCTCAGTCAAAGGTAGGTAACCCATAGAGGATCTTAGTCAAAGGTAGGTAACCCATATAGGATCTTAGTCAAAGGTAGGTAACCCATAGAGGATCTCAGTCAAAGGTAGGTAACCCATATAGGATCTTAGTCAAAGGTAGGTAACCCATAGAGGATCTCAGTCAAAGGTAGGTAACCCATATAGGATCTTAGTCAAAGGTAGGTAACCCATAGAGGATCTCAGTCAAAGGTAGGTAACCCATATAGGATCTTAGTCAAAGGTAGGTAACCCATAGAGGATCTCAGTCAAAGAAGGTAACTCATAGAGGATCTCAGTCAAAGGTAGGTAACTCATAGAGGATCTCAGTCAAAGGTAGATAACATAGGTTATCATTAAAAGGTAGGTAACTCATAGAAGATCTCAATCAGTGAACTACATCTAAACTGTCTTGTTGAAGTCCTGTCTATGCAATCATACACACACTGGTGAGGTGAACCAGTTTCACACACTTCATTAGTTAGCTCCGTATTGCTCTTACTTGTGCTGGGACCAGCAACAAAACACAGCTATAAAATGTCTGTCTAGCCACACAAGCAACAAAATACAGCTATAAAATTTGTCTGTCTACCCACACAAGCAACAAAATACAGCTATAAAATTTGTCTGTCTACTCACACAACAAAACACAGCTATAAAATTTGTCTGTCTACCCACACAAGCAACAAAACACAGCTATAAAATTTGTCTGTCTACTCACACAACAAAACACAGCTATAAAATTTGTCTGTCTACTCACACAACAAAACACAGCTATAAAATTTGTCTGTCTACTCACACAACAAAACACAGCTATAAAATTTGTCTGTCTACCCACACAACAAAACACAGCTATAAAATTTGTCTGTCTACTCACACAAGCAACAAAACACAGCTATAAAATTTGTCTGTCTAGCCACATAAGCAACAAAACACAGCTATAAAATGTGTCTGTCTACTCCCCCCAGGCTGGCAGAGAAGAGCCAAGAAGCCAGTGACCTGAGGAGAGAGAACAGCACCTTCTCTACACGAGTCATGGAACTGCAGAAGAGGCTGTGAGTTTTACACTAGCCAGAACAATTTTTTCTAGTTGTACTCAAACAGTTGTGTGAAAACATAGTTTATTGTTGAAATATATTAAACTAGCCAGAACAATTTTTACTTGTTGAACTCAAAAAGTTGTTTTGTAAAACACTTTATTGTGTGTACTTTTTATTGTGAAAATGTGTAAAGTACAGTTTATTGTTGAATGACTTGACAATGGTGATTTAGTTGTTTGACTACTTCAGCTCTGACACAGAAGTGCGTGAGAACGAGGCCATCACACAAATCCGCGATGCTGTCCAAATGGTTGAAGCTGCTGTCATGGAGAAAGATCAGGTATCTACTGTCCCTTGTCATTGTTTCACTTGCTGCACTTTTTCTGGCCCACTTTTAGAAAACTATTTTTTCTCCCCATCAGTTTGAGATAATGGCCAAAAAGAAAGATGACGAACTGGAAGAAATGAAAAATGTTCTGGCAAAGATCATCAATAAAGCTGGTGCTCGTACAAGGGAAGAGGTCAGTTGTGGGGTTCAGTTGTAGGGTTCAGTTGTAGGGTTTAGTTGTAGGGTTTAGTTGTAGGGTTTAGTTGTAGGGTTTAGTTGTAGGGTTTAGTTGTAACGATTAGTTTTAGGGTTTAGTTGTAGGGTTTAGTTGTAGGGTTTAGTTGTAGGGTTTAGTTGTAGGGTTTAGTTGTAGGGTTAAGTTGTAGGGTTTAGTTGTAGGGTTTAGTTGTAGGGTTAAGTTGTAGGGTTTAGTTGTAGGGTTCAGTTGTAGGGTTTAGTTGTAGGGTTTAGTTGTAGGGTTTAGTTGTAACGATTAGTTTTAGGGTTTAGTTGTAGGGTTTAGTTGTAGGGTTTAGTTGTAGGGTTTAGTTGTAGGGTTAAGTTGTAGGGTTTAGTTGTAGGGTTAAGTTGTAGGGTTCAGTTGTAGGGTTCAGTTGTAGGGTTTAGTTGTAACGATTAGTTTTAGGGTTTAGTTGTAGGGTTAAGTTGTAGGGTTTAGTTGTAGGGTTTAGTTGTAACGATTAGTTTTAGGGTTTAGTTGTAGGGTTTAGATGTAGGGTTTAGTTGTAACGATTAGTTTTAGGGTTTAGTTTTAGGGTTCACTTGTGAGGCTAATTATGTTAAGTTGAGACATTATGCATTCAGTATGTTTAGTAGTAATAAATTGAAACGCCAAAATGAAGGATCCAACGTGGGATTTGTTCATAATATTCAGTTTTATATTTTATTTGTAATGTTGAGTAAAATCAAATTAAGTGAATTACTTAATAGTAAGTTCTTAAATCAGTTGAAGCCAATATTTTCAGGTTGACCTTGTCAGAAAACAATGCAATGATCGCATCACACTGTTGACGGAGGAGCTTCACGGCCTGGAGATGGAGGGAGCAGAGAAACAGTCGCGCCTGGACCGGCTGCTCAGGGAGAAGAGATCCATAGAGTCTGAGCTGCAACAGGTTAGGCTTGTCACATCATAGTGTACAATTGTTTTGGTACACATTGTATCTAATGAATGGCTAATTCAAATCACATTCTGGTGTACAATTGTTGATACACAAGTTGTATCTAATGAATGGGCAATTCAAATCAACTTTTTTCTTTTTGCAAGATCTACAAAGAAGGCAAGTCCGACATTTCCAAGTCTAAAGAAGCTTATCAGCTCATGAGCAAGCGAGCTATTGATGCTGAGAGAGCCAGGGATGAGGCAAACACCAAAGTTGATAACTTGCTCTCCCAGATTGATCTGCTGACTCTAGAGTAATTGTTTCATTTCTTTTTTAAACTTGCTCAGTTTTTTAAATATTTTTATTTGGTTTTTACAATTTTGAATGTTTTGATTGGTTGTAAAATCTACCAATGAGCTGGTGGGTTCAGGTTTTAAAATTTTACCTACAGAAACAAGCAAATTAAACATCAGATGGGGTCAGAGGTCAAGCAGCTGCAAGAGAGGCTGACCAGCGTCCAGTCAGAGTTTGAGGCTGTCAATGAAGATCGTCTGTCCAGCCTCAACAAGGTGAACGACCTCAACAAGAAACTTTTGGCTTGCCAGCAGGAGAAGGAAGCCGTCCAGCGCAAATTTGCTAAGGAGGTAAGAACAAATATTTACAGGTATGTAAACAAATGTTTCCTGGTACACAAACAAATTTTCACAGGCACATAAACAAATATCCCTAGAAACAGAAAATATTATAATCTTCTCAGGTATGAATCACATAGGTTTTCAGAACAAAGAGATCTTTTAAACTTTGCTAGAAACATTGATAATGTTGTTTGTTCTCAGCTTGCCTTGATTGAGCAGAACCAACAGATGAAGTCTCGAGACTTTGAGGTGAAACTTCAGACGACAGAAGATTCTCGTAGACAGACCGTCAGTGAGCTGCGGAGACTGTTGACAGCCCAGCAGAGGATGAGTGCCAGGTAAATTCCACTTTGGACTGAGTCGCCTGTTAGTCTAGTTTGTTGGTGTATGTGTGTTTAATCCATGATTTATAGTTGATTTAATATTGTATGAAAATGGTTATTAAAGGGTTATCATAGTTGAGATTATTTTATAATGGAAGTTTGACCGGACAAGAACTGTAAACATTTTATAATTGAGTAATGTTTCCATTTGTCCCTCACCCAACCAGGTGGAAGGAAGAATGTCAGACAGTGACCCACAAGTTTCAAGGTCAGCTGGAAGATCTGCGGAGTGAGCTCAGTCATGTCAAGAAAAGAAATGAGGAGTTGTCTTCCCTACTTAAAGACAGCCAGATCAAAACTTGTGAGGTAGTTGTGTACCTTGTGGTAGAAACAATGTTTGTGTGTCACCACCTTGTGGTAGAAACAATGTTCATGTGTCACCACCTTGTGGTAGAAACAATGTTCATGTGTCACATCTTACCCAGCATAAAATAAGGGCTCATTCTGTCAAACAATTTTACCATCAAAATATAAAATAAATGCCTTAAGTAGTGTACACTTCTTCTCTTGTTGGCATAGGTTGAGAGACTGCTCTCAGTACAAATTTCTGTTGTTGGCATAGGTTTAAAGACTACTCTCAGTACAAACTTCTGTTGTTGGCATAGGTTGAGAGACTACTCTCAGTACAAACTTCTGTTGTTGGCCTAGGTTGAGAGACTACTCTCAGTACAAATTTCTGTTGTTGGCATAGGTTGAGAGACTACTCTCAGTACAAACTTCTGTTGTTGGCATAGGTTGAGAGACTACTCTCAGTACAAACTTCTGTTGTTGGCATAGGTTGAGAGACTACTCTCAGTACAAACTTCTGTTGTTGGCATAGGTTGAGAGACTACTCTCAGTACAAACTTCTGTTGTTGGCATAGGTTGAGAGACTACTCTCAGTACAAACTTCTGTTGTTGGCATAGGTTGAGAGACTACTCTCAGTACAAATTTCTGTTGTTGGCATAGGTTTAAAGACTACTCTCAGTACAAACTTCTGTTGTTGGCCTAGGTTGAGAGACTACTCTCAGTACAAATTTCTGTTGTTGGCATAGGTTGAGAGACTACTCTCAGACTACACAAGAAACATCAGGAGGATGGAGGAGAGAGTGAGGGAGGCGGAGCTACAGGCAGGGGAGGCCCACCAGCAACTAGCCAGACAGAGCATACGGGAGCGCCAGGGGGCCGCAGAGAAGGAAAGTCTTTTGGCTGAGTTAACTCGGAGTCAAAGGTCAGTGTGTTAGGGTTATGATGTTATTGTTGGCTTCAAACTACAGACACTGATACAACTTGAATGATTGGGTTCTAATTTGCTTGTTTTTTTAAAAATGACAACTTGAATGATTGAGGACCAACTATATCGCATGCAGTGCATAACTTGATGACATGGTCATCAACAGAATCTATCATTTATTTCCACACATAAAGAAGACACAGCAATGCTCTCATTCACCAACATCTTTACATCCTTGCCTCCTACCTCATCCTGCCTTTAACCTCTTCATTCTTGCACTCATCTACCACAAAAAACTGTCCTGTCACTTAAAAAAAGAATTTACATGCAACACTCAGAGCATGTCAATTATTTTTCTGCACACAATTAACAAGTGGGGCTCATCACTGGCTATAAGAAGATCCCTACCACCCCCTCTATGTTATACTTCATGTATCACCAGATACCTACCACCCCCCTCTATTCTATACTTCATGTGTCACCAGTGGCCACTCTTTGCTGAGTTGGTTTTTATATCAACAAAAACATGGTGCAGTTTTCTGTTAACCTTGACCTTGTGTTTTAGGGGAGATAATCCAGGCACAGATCCAAAAGACCTCGCCTACTTAGGCTCTTCTGTTAAAGTCAATGGAATCCTTCGGTCAAGCAACAGAGGGGACCTAACTCTCGAACATTTGAGTAACTCTGTCAGACAGGAAACATCTCAAAGAGAACTGAGTGACAGATGATTGGTCAGCTTGGTCATGTGATGTCCATCCACCACTTTAATAGCTTCTCTGTGATATATAGATATTATTCTTGCTGTCCAATATAATCCAGGTTTAAATGTAAACAAATATTTTACATAACAAGTTGATGAAGTAGAATGGCAGATAAGGGCCCAAGATTTCAGTAATGAATGCTTGTGTTGTATGTCATTTTTAAACAAACAAAAAAATGTTTGCGTATCTCAATGTGTTTAGTTCCTAATTTAACCTGTAACTTAACCTTGTCTATTAGCAGGGTTGTTGAAAGGGTAGAGAAGATTATTGTTTTAAATTGTCTCAACATTTATGACTAAAATATTTTTTCCGTCCAGATCAATATTTTATCATGTTGCCATTTACTTTATTTATTGCTTCATCTCTTCACCAGAGTCCACTCTGTTCATTGTATATTTTCATGCTCATTAGCTTGCTGACTTGTTAGTTTGCTGTTGTCAAGGTTTGTTTTAAACATTGAAATATATACTGTATAAAAATATTTATTTAAACTAATACATTGAACTCATTCCTTCCATATTACTTCTTAAAGATATTAAATTTATATTATTCCGTCTATTGAATAAAATTCTTACCTCAATCTTAACAGTTGTCAGCTTTAGTAAGTGTCTGGATCAGGACAGTTGGTCATCCCCCGCCCACACTCCCCCCCCCCCATCCAAACCAGGTGCTGTGATCCATACACTTGGAGAAAAAAAGAACATCAATATTAAATTTATCAATGATTTTTATTTTTTTAGCAAAACTTCAAAACAGTTTATTTGTCATGGTTTGATATACACATATATTAGCACAACCTCTAAACATACATGTATTATGTATATGTTCAATATAAAACTTTGATGATAAGGCTGACACACATCTTAATCAGTAGACTGACCTGACATAGAAACACTGACTTACACTGATGGTATACATACATTTATATTTTAAAAAAAACTTCTCTTTTGTAACTTTAAACAAAGAACATCACATTTTTCATCACATGTACAGTAGAGTAAACTTTTGAATAATAAAGTCTTGGGATCACCTAGCATGGAGCATTGCTGCAGCTAAATAAATTCTGAGTCTGGCAATTTACAATTTAGTTTGTGTTGGACCTCACCCTAAAGGGTTATTTCCTCTTGATCAAAAACTTCTATCAAGTCGTGTTGTGTTGCTAGTACTAAAGCAACTGGCTCTTATTAACAGTATTAAATCTGACCAAAATAATTAATTAAATCAGTTTACTACCCTACGCAAAACACCAACTAATATCACCAGGCAGCCATTAAGGTGGGAAAAAAACAGCAAAAAATGACCTTCATTGGGAAGATGGCACAGGACAGAGGACTCTGGAGATTTTTGGTTGAATTCAGTTGATTAAATAATAGACTATTAAAGTGCCAGACTAACTAGTCTACTTAATGAACAGTAAAATAATTTGTACTTATTGTAGTGCTTCAGTTGAATTATGCTTTTATAAAAAATAAACTTCTAACATAATCTGTTTGAAGTGGTCTCCCCTTGCAAAATACAGCGAGACAATTTATTATTTATTGTAAAAATGTTTTGTAATAAATGATAAAATTAAAGAAAATATAAAAAATATGGATTGGTTAATTCAAGTCATCACCAATGAATATAAAAATATACACACTGCTGACAACCAGTATCTAGCAGTTAAAAAGGCAACAAGTTTTATCACAAATGTACAGCATATGCTGACTAATCAACAGCAACAAATGTCAATCAAATATTGTCTGCAGCATTGTTTACATGCCATGTCAAGGTATTCAGCTAACAAAAGCAGAGATGTGGGGTATTTTATCAAAAGACATAAAGGTAAAAATAAAAAACAAAACATACAACTAACCATATACTATAAATTACACATACAAACTTAGGTGAGTCTACAAAATCAGTAATTTATCTGTAATGTAATTATTTAAATACTTATTAATTAATTAACTGGTTTTTAAAAGATTAAACTATATCACATACATTTTTTTAAAGTAGTCGTTGAAATGCTTTATGAATTACAGTAAAAATATTTCACAACACATAAAAATAGAAGGCTATAAATATAAAATTATATAATAAAGTAGTCTATTTAGACAACCAAAGTCTCAAAACATAAACTAGAAAGTAAACAATAATTTTTTAAAAACATAAAAAATTCAAATAGGTGAGCATTTGTTTTCATTATTTCTTTGTGCCTCTTGAATTAGCAATTTGAAAATTTTCCTAATGAGGTAATCATCCCAGTACCCCCCCCCCCCCATTCCTGTGAAGGTAACACACCTGTGTCTGTTGTGGTGTGTCTAGCAGATCGCAGGTGAAAGTCTGGCTTGACCACTGTTCAAACCTGGCCACTTCATTCCATGAAAGCCAAAGTCATTTTCTTTTTAGGATGAAAATGGTCCAAAATAAACTGACCAGCAGAGGATTTTAATTTTTAAATGACCTGGAACCAAAATAAACTGGATCAAAAGTGTGAGTGAGGGGGAGGCGGGGGTAGACCTCAAGAGGGAAGTCATAGAACAATCTATTCAGGGGCGGCAACACTGGGAGTGCTAGATGGGAGGAGAGGGCAGGGAGGCTGACAATGGGAGTTAATGAGACCAGAAATTTGTGCGACAACTGGTCCAAGAGTTGTCTCTCCCCTGGGTAGGTAAGTGATGGTGAGAGGGGTGGGGGTATGCCCGGGTGGGGGTGAAAGAAACGGCTGTGCAGGTACTCTGGTTGTGATGTGTAGGAGGGGCTGTAAGGGAGGTAAGTCTCAGTGGCTAAAGGAAGTTTGGTGTGTGGGGTGTAACTGGTGGCATGGGGGTCAAATGGGGATAGGTAAGGGGAGGTAATCGAGTGTGTGGTGGGGAGCGAGTTACCCATCTTGTGGTGGCTGTCAGAAAAATGATGTTGGGGTGTGGAGTGTGGGGATCTACACGATTGGCTATCATTTGGTGCAGGTGTAATGGATGCAGGTGTAATGGATGCAGGTGCAATGGATGAAGGTGTAATGGATGCAGGTGTAATGGATGCAGGTGTAATGGATGCAGGTGTTGTTGGTGTAGAGGCAGGTGTGGTGGATGCAGGGGAGGGAATGCCAAGGGAAAGTTCACTGGAAATAGGCTGAGGGAAACTAGAACAGGGAACAGGGGAAGGCGATCTAGAACAAGATGTTCCAGAACACGACGTTCTGACACCGTTAGCTCGAGGAGACGATGGAACTGCAGCAGACGTCAGCCACCAACTGGCATCAGTGGAGGATTTCTTGTGGACATCCTGGGGGGAGATTACTCCTGTCGGAGTTGAACTTTGAACCCTGGGGTCACGGGGTGCAACCACAAAACTAGACTGCAGGGCGTCCATCTTGTTTTCCAGTTCGCTGCTCAAAATTTTTCTCTTTTTCCAGTGCTGGGGAGACTTGACCTGGGGAGATTTGACTTGTGGGGCTGATGACGAGGATACATTCATTAAATTTTTTGATGTGTCATGGCGGCTGGATGTCACGTGACAAAAATCTGGAACACGAGCAGACGGGCAACTCTGGTATGTTGATATTTTATCCATCTCGTGGCTATTTTTAACTTCTGAAACTTTTCCAGCTTCCTCAGTTGACAGTTTATTCATTTTACTGGAATAATATCCGACATCAAATGTGCTAGTTAAAATATTTTGAAGAAAAGTTTTCGTGTTTGAAGTTCTTTCGGTTTTAACCACATCTTGTATTCTAAAGTTCGAATCTTGTAAGTCTTCAACCATTGGCTGCCTCACATCACGTGTCATGTCAACAGGACTAAAGCTTGTTTCCGTTTGCGATTCGCTTCCCTCGTTGTAGGGTAACTCTTCCATTTTAATGTCAACCTGCTCAAAAGGCGTTACGTTCACTTTAACACCCGCTGAGTGACCGATGTGAGTAGTATCTGTCTTACACATGTAATTTCTCGTATTACTGCTGTCAGAACTATCTGTCTTACACATGTAATTTCTCGTATTACTGCTGTCAGAACTATCTGTCTTACACATGTAATTTCTCGTACTACTGCTGTCAGAACTATCTGTCTTACACATGTAATTTCTCGGGTCGCTGTGATCACAAAAACCCTCCTGGTACTCTGTCTGGAGACTCAGTCTCCTGTAGCAGCCGACACCTGACTTCCGGTCGTGGAGCTTCCGGTCACACGGCTCCCCGCTGATGGCCCGACGTAGCAAGAGTCCATCAAGCCCCACCGTGTGCCCGTGGGTGCGGACATGTTTCCTCAGGGAGCTGGGGTCCGTGTACTGCTTCAGGCAGCCCGCCATCTTGCATTTGTACGGTTTGTCTTCCTGGTGCGTGCGAACGTGCTTGAAGCGATCGCTGGAGTTTGAGTAAGCTTTGGTGCACCCGGGGAAGGAGCACAAATATGGTTTTTCCCCTGAAATATAATAAAGAGCATATTATTATAGTACAAATATTTATTAACGCATTTAAAAAGTTTATGTTTGAAATCTAGAGGAATGTTTTTCTAACTTAGAAAAAATAAATTTTAAATTTTAACACAATATTTATTTTCACAATATGCTAACCATTCAAATTTCTTAATGCAATGTAATGTAAATAATTAAACTTAGTTCGAAAGCTTTTTAACCACCAACAAGTTAAATTTTGTCACAATTATTTTAGAAGAAAAAAAAACGTAAGTTTTTAAAACCCAAAATCTGAATTTGAGTTACACTTTTACAGTTATATAAGAAACGAAACAAAAATTCCGAATCTAAAAGAGCAACTGACCTGTATGGGAACGCGTGTGAATTTTTAGATTCTCCAGTCGCGAGAAACACTTGCCACACACATAACATTCGTGTGGTTTCTCGTTGGTGTGGGTGCGGATGTGGATCAACATTTTATACCTGCAAGAGACAGTGCGGATGTGGATCAACATTTTATACCTGCAAGAGACAGAGCTTTTAGTTGGATTATAAAATCTGGTAATTCTAGTTAATTGCTTTTTTAAAAAATTATTTATTAAGAATATTTTTAAATTGATTTTTGAAAGACATTTTTAGAACAATTCGACTGACGATTTGGAAATAAATCTAGTTTAAAAAAAATTGAATGGGTACCTGGCATTAAAGCCCCTGCCCTTCCTCGGGCAGCCCTGCCAGTGGCACTGAAAATCTAGGTCAGGCCTCTCGATACGGACATGGTCATCGTTGACGTGCAGGGACAAGGTCTTCTGGGTGGGGAAACTTTGGCCACACGTCTTCCAGCGGCAGGTCAGGTGCCCGGGGACATTCGGGGGCATCTGTGGGTGGACAGATACATTCAGGGGCATCTGTGGGTAGACAGATACATTCAGGGGCATCTGTGGGTGGACAGATACATTCAGGGGCATCTGTGGGTGGACAGATACATTCAGGGGCATATGTGGGTGGACAGATACATTCAGGGGCATCTGTGGGTGGACAGATACATTCAGGGGCATCTGTGGGTGGACAGATACATTCAGGGGCATCTGTGGGTGGACAGATACATTCAGGGGCATCTGTAGGTGGACAGATACATTCAGGGGCATATGTGGGTGGACAGATACATTCAGGGGCATCTGTGGGTGGACAGATACATTCAGGGGCATCTGTGGGTGGACAGATACATTCAGGGGCATATGTGGGTGGACAGATACATTCAGGGGCATCTGTGGGTGGACAGATACATTCAGGGGCATCTGTGGGTGGACAGATACATTCAGGGGCATCTGTGGGTGGACAGATACATTCGGGGGCATCTGTAGGTGGACAGATACATTCAGGGGCATCTGTGGGTGGACAGATACATTCAGGGGCATCTGTGGGTGGACAGATACATTCAGGGGCATCTGTGGGTGGTCAGATACATTCAGGGGCATCTGTGGGTGGACAAATACATTCAGTGGCATTTGTGGGTGGACAGATACATTCAGGGGCATCTGTGGGTGGACAGATACATTCAGGGGCATCTGTAAGTGGACAGATACATTCAGGGGCATATGTGGGTGGACACATACATTCAGGGTGGACAGATACATTCAGGGGCATCTGTGGGTGGACAGATACATTCAGGGGCATCTGTGGGTGGACAGATACATTCGGGTCGTCCATAAACGATGTCACACTACGGGGGGGGGGGGGGGGGGGTGGGGGGTGGACATGTGTGACGATAGGAAAGGATGAGGAAAAAACGTGACGTCATTTATAGGTGAACCCCACCCCAGGATAGAAACATTCAGGGTCAACCCGTCAAAAGACAAGCAAAGCTAATATATAAAGCATGTCATATGACATGAAGTGTGGCATTCAAAGGTTTTTCTCACACACAGTGTAATTATAACACTGAGTTGAACTTTGACCTTTATCAAATCTAACGGTCAACAGAACAGGATTTTCTGGTCAACAATACACAGACTGTCCCAGATACCAGACACGTGCTGACCACACCTGATGTCATATGGTCAGGTACCCACTAAAGTTGGATTGACTCAGTGCTGTCCTGTATTTGGGTACTCATTAGAGCTGAGTGAACGCAGTACCGTCCTGTGGTTGGGTACTCATTCGAGCTGGGTGGACTCAGACGTTTTACAGCCAGGAAACTGACCTCGAGACTTAGAGTGAGCAACCCCCCCCCCCCGCCCCACACACACACACACTTCAAGATGAAAGAACAGTGTGACAGTGACATTACACACGTACCAACATGGTGACCTGGGTTCGTTCCAGAGAGTCACTAGTAGAGTCACCAGTAGAGTCACCAGTAGAGTCACCAGTGCAGGGATGGAATTTGTCTTGTTTCCGTGGACAACGAACAGCAGACATCCGGATATATTGTATTGGTGCTCACATTTTCACTGGGCAGTTGCTCACCATCAAGATACTGGTCAATGGTCACCACCAGGGTATATTGTTACATTATCTTGGACTGTATGTTGCGTCATACTGCAGAAGAAAAGCAACACATTTTACTTTTTTTAGTCCCGATGTGGAAATTATCCAGCACATTCCAGATTCTACTTTACAACAACTGACGTAAAAAAAAATAATCCAGTGTTTCATCAGCAGAACTTTAATTAGAAGTCAAATTTTAGGCAGCTGCTATATTTTTGTGAACTTCCACATTTTGGGAGGGGGGGGGGGGGGGCGTGTGTGTGTGTGTGTGTAAAACTTGAGTACCGTTACAGCTAGGTTGATGACATTTCATATATAAGTATTATATCACATTTGTAGATTTGTATCAACTTTTCAGCGATTTCCGATAACCGGAAGTGGAACTTTTTTACTTTCAACTTTTCAAAAGTTCATAACGTGAGTACAGTTTCAGATAGATAAATGAAATTTCACATGTAAGTAAAAGATCTAATTCTCTGCCTTCTGTCAAATTTTGAGTAATTTCCGTTGACCGGAAGTAGTAATTTACGCTATTTCCGATTTGTCAAAAAAAAAAAACGCATGTGAATTTGGCGTTCACGTGGTGCGCAATTCTTGTTTTTTTCTATGCGATTCTATTCTGTTTAAAAAGTTTAAATAATTAAAAATGGATTAACAATAATGTCTATATCCCGACTTGCCATCCCCGTAGTGTTATATAAGAATATTCGAGAATGTTTAGGGGAGATCACTCCCGGTTTATTTTTTTTGCACGATTACAATACTTTATACTTCGTATACGAGAAAGTAAAAAGTGCCCTCTTTCCATCATCCCAGTAGTTAGGCCTCTGGTGATGGATGAATGAAAGCGGCGTGCGACGTTTTACACCGCTATCTCTCAAGATTCCAGTTAAAAATTTATTAAAGGATATAGAGGATTTTATTTCTAATTTATAAATAAAATAAAAAGCGTAGTAAATCTAGTACTGAATAAACCAAACTTACAGTAGTTCAATATGGACACAACCAAGCAAATCAAAAACTTTTTAGAACTTCATAATCTACTCCATGCACATTTTCAGGAAATTTAAATTAATGAGCGGCTTTTGAGTCAGTTAACTACGCTGTGATAACTGTGGTTGTAATGGTATTTGTCGTGGTCAACTGTAGTTGTAATGGTTTTTGTCGTGGTCAACTCACTGTGGTTGTAATGATATTTGTCGTGGTCAACTGTGGTTGTAATGGTATTTGTCTTGGTCAACTTACTGTGGTTGTAATGGTATTTGTCGTGGTCAACTGTAGTTGTAATGGTATTTGTCGTGGTCAACTGTAGTTGTAATGGTATTTGTCTTGGTCAACTTACTGTGGTTGTAATGGTATTTGTCCTAGGATTATTTCTCGCCGATCGTAATCGATTATTCGCTTATCTTGACAGACGATCATTGACGTCATAAGCAGGTGCTTGAGGGTAAATTACCTACGGGTTATCTGCAATAGGATGACCTAATGGCCCGAGCAGACGACCCACAACTATCTCGAACGACACACCTAAGGGGTGTCTCTAAAACAACGAGCTCTTAACAAATGCTATCACACAGGACCCACCTGCGTCAAACACCTGTAGACCCACACGTAGACCCACCTGTAGACCCACACGTAACACAGACCCACCTATAGACCCACCTGTAACACAGACCCACCTATAGATCCCCCTGTAGACCCACCTGTAACACAAACCCACCTGTAACACAGACCCACCTGTAGACCCACCTGTAACACAGACCCACCTATAGACCCACCTGTAGACCCACCTGTAACACAGACCCACCTATAGACCCACCAGTAGACCCACCTGTAACACAGACCCACCTATAGATCCCCCTGTAGACCCACCTGTAACACAGACCCACCTATAGATCCCCCTGTAGACCCACCTGTAACACAGACCCACCTGTAGACCCACCTGTAACACAGACCCACCTGTAGACCCCCTACAATAGACCCACCTGTAGACCCACCTGTAACACAGACCCACCTATAGACCCACGTGTAGACCCACCTGTAACACAGACCCACCTGTAACACAGACCCACCTGTAACACAGACCCACCTATAGACCCACCTGTAGACCCACCTGTAACACAGACCCACCTATAGACCCACCTGTAGACCCACCTGTAACACAGACCCACCTATAGACCCACCTGTAGACCCACCTGTAACACAGACCCACCTATAGACCCACCTGTAGACCCACCTGTAACACAGACCCACCTATAGACCCACCTGTAGACCCACCTGTAACACAGACCCACCTGTAGACCCCCTACAATAGACCCACCTGTAGACCCACCTGTAACACAGACCCACCTATAGACCCACCTGTAGACCCACCTGTAACACAGACCCACCTATAGACCCACCTGTAGACCCACCTGTAACACAGACCCACCTGTAACACAGACCCACCTGTAACACAGACCCACCTGTAGACCCCCCTGTAGACCCACCTGTAACAGAGAGCCAACTACCGAGCCATTGTCTATACACGGAGAGACAACTTTGACGTCCAAAACTTGTCTGCTTAATGAAAACCGAAATTTGACGTCTGCTATTTGAAGTCCAAAATTTGACGTCCTGAACCTGACGTCCAAAACTTGACGTCCAAAACTTGACGTCCATAACCTGACGTCCAAAAATTTCTCACCTGAATCATCCACTGGTCACCAACTATCTGATTATCTTTCACGTCACCAGCTAAACAATAAGAATAATTATCTAATTATCCTCTTAACTCCTAATTGATTTATACATGTGATAACAGCGCCTATGGGATTAGCAGCTCGCGCTAAGCAAAAGAAATTAGTTATTTGAAGAGGTCGGATTAGGCCGTTAATCCGAAGTTATTCCAAGATTTGGGGAAATCCCGGGGTTAACCTGACTGGCATACCAGCAGGATAATCTAGAACATTCCTTGAGAAAACTTTGACCCACTCTAGCGCCCAATGCTGGGAGGGTGTGGTCAAGAACTAGAACGTGCTTTAACGTCCTAAGATCAGGAGTTCGGACCCCTTGACCAACACTAAGGTCGTCCTTCATGGTCAACTCACCATTCTGGGTACCCGTGGGTCCTTCATGGCCAACTCACCATTTTGGGTACCCGCGGGTCCTTCATGGCCAACTCACCATTTTGGGTACCCGTGGGTCCTTCATGGCCAACCTCACCATTTTGGGTACCCGCGGGTCCTTCATGACCAACTCACCATTCTGGGTACCCGTGGGTCCTTCATGGCCAACCTCACCATTTTGGGTACCAGTGGGTCCTTCATGGCCAACCTCACCATTTTGGGTACCCGTGGGTCCTTCATGGCAATCTCACCATTTTGGGTACCCGTGGGTCCTTCATGGCCAACTCACCATTTTGGGTACCCGTGGGTCC